TAATGTTACAACACTTAAAATGATATATCATGCATACTTTCATTCACTCATGAGATATGGAATAGTTTTTTGGGGTAATTCAGTAGAGGCCAAGAAGATCTTTCTCTTACAAAAGAAGACGATTAGAATAATAATAGGGATGAAATATAGAGAGTCATGTGGGCCAGCATTTATAAAGTTAAATATATTAACACTGGTCTCTCAATATATTTTATCCTTGATGACTTTTATGATAGATAACTTGGGAGTATTAGTTTTAATTATTCAATTTATTACAGACCGACAAGACATGAAAGAAATTTACATGTCCTACAATCACATCTCGCAATGAGGCAGAAAGGGGTCCATTGCATGAGTATAAAAATATTTAACAGTCTGCCTGATTATTTAACTGATTTAGTACATGATAAAAAACAGTTTATAAAAGAAATAAGGGATGTCCTAATACATAATCAGTCATATACTGTTGATGAATTTTTGCTCTTCTGTCGGGATCAACAGCTAAGGAATAGAAGGGGAGTGCATGCTGACTGATGGATGTCCCACAGTAGGCATCAATATAGACATTAAGTGTAAATATAACCTGTATTTTATGTATTTATTTAGATGCAGAGTGTTTGCATTTATGTTTGTTTGTTATTGTGATATGGCATGTTGGAATAGTAAAGATGTATTGTTGTTTGTAAAGCTTGTGACATGTTTCATATTAAGTGCAGATTGCACTTATGAATATCCTGAAACGCAGATGTACGAGGGGAAGTCAATAATTATCCGCAATGCAGTTGTATTTGTGTTTCTGTTGGCAGCACTGTCGCTTTGCGCAGCATCGCCATGCGTGGTTTCCTTGTCATTATTTCTGCGCAGGATTGATGTTGCTAGGTCAGTTCCATCGTCGCTGCCTTACTGTTAATCATGGCTGCTCCGCTTTCTGTTTGCACCAAAGAAGAGCAACGTTCAGTGATCTGGTTTTTGTGGTCGGAAAGTATATCAGGGGCCGCAATCCATCAAAGACTTTCAGCACAATATGGGAACAGTGTTTTGCCGCAACGGAGTGTCTACGAATGGATTGAAAAATTCAAAAATGGTCGCACAAGTGCTATGCATGAGGAAGGAGCTGGACGACCATCCATGGCCACAAATGAGGACAACATTGAGTGTGCACGTGACATCGTTCTGTTAGACGAGTGACTATTGATGAAGTGGCAAATTATCTGCAAATTAGTCATGGTTCTGCCCACGAAATCATCCACAATAGACTTGGGTTTCATAAAGTCTGTGCAAGCTGGGTCCCAAAACAACTCACAGTGTTGCATAAACAAACACGCTTGGACATCTGCCAACAACATTTGGATCTCTTTGGTAATGACAGAATCATCACTGGTGACTAAACATGGATCCATCATTGCGAGCCGGAGAGTAAACGGCAGAGTATGGAATGGAAACATCCACAATCGCCCGGCAAGAAAAAGTTCAAAAGCCAAGCATCCGCAGGAAAACTGATGCTTACAGCTTTTTGGGACTCACAAGGCCCAGTACTGGAACATTATCAGGAGAGGGGCACAATAAACAGTGCTCGTTACAGTGAGATGCTTACTGACAGGCTAAAGCCTGCAAATTGAAGCAAACGCCGAGGACTACTGTCGAAAGGTGTTGTGTTGTTGCATGACAATGCCCGTCCACATACTGCTGCCCACACTCCTGAAACCCTCCAGACTCTCAAGTTTGATGTAATGGCTCATCCTCCGTATAGTCCTGATCTCACCCCTTCTGACTACCACTTGTTTGGTCCACTCAAAGAGGCATTAAGGGGCCGTCGATTCACCTCGGACCAAGAAGTGAAGGAAGCGGTGCATGTGTGGCTCACTGCTCAGCTGAAAAAAACCTTTCCTGAGGGCATCAGGAAGCTTGTGCAACGATGGACCATGTGCGTTGAAAAGCAAGGGGACTACGTTGAAAAATGATGTTAACTCTCTGACTGGCGCGAAGGGTATTTAAATCCCACCCCTGTCCTGGCAGGCCCTTTAAACCTTATGTCGCTAAAATGCATGTAGTTACTTTTTCCTAAACAACTTCAACAAAAATTGGTTTTAAAAACGAAATTTTCAGGAACTAATTAAAATACAATATTTTATGCAATAAATGCCTTTCCATACCTCTTTATTAGTTTTTCTTCATGTGATAAACATTGAAACATGAAAGTTTGCAGAGAGCCACATCACAGCCTGCACACATCATACTTCTTTCTTTTCTAATCTTGTGCTTAGCACTCACGCGACACTTTATCAGGGCACCATTCTTCTTGTTACTGGGAGGAACATGGACCATTTTGTGAATTTTCAAGCCACCCTCTAGACGATTTACTGGCTCTTTCACTGGTGGTCTTTTCAAGGTCGAGGGCGGAGGCGTGACTGCACTCGAGTCTGACGCAATAGATTCGTCATCCACTTCATTCCTTGACTCTTCTCCCTCTCCACCCTGTTTGTTTGGTTCAGTCATTTTTCTACACAGTCCAATATAAAATCTTTGAATCTGTAATTTCTCTTCTTGTATTTTTCGTTTGTTGTGTTCTTTTTGAATAGAATGAAACTATTCAACCGCAAAGACATGTTTTGTCCATACCATGGGTGTGAAATAGGGGCCTAGTGGACAAATATTCTTCAATTTCAGGGCGTTTGTTGATTCCTGTCATGAACACAATTCCTAAGTATGTCCAGATTTCATCTGATGTGACATAATTGTAATTGTGTTTTCGAGAGTGAGGAGCTAACTCATGTGTGTTGAAGTGCTGGTGAGCATAGCGATTGGTTTCAGTTGTGATGTGATTTACCAAGTCGTCATCCAGAAAAAATTTTAATCCATGAAAAGGGATGCATTTTATGTGTTATATCAATTTTGATCCCGAAACTATTAGCAAATGGAAATATTGGGGGTACAATGTCTCCGTACGTTCATGAGATGGGCGTGTCAGGCACCGCACTCGTGGTAGGTAAATGTTCATGATTACTGTCTTGTGGATCATTGTCTATCACTGTATTATTGTCACTATCAACTTCATCCAATTCAGGAATCATTATTTCATCGCCACTATCATCATCAGAACAAATCTCGTTCACAACATTTTCCAGCTGGTCTATAGGAACACGAAGACACTTGCTGCAAGAAGCCATGGTGAAACTGAATGAATGTGAAATATTTTCTGACCTTTTCCTTCTCAGAGGGTTCTGACAGTAATATAGACCCCCACAAAATTTACATGGGTTCTTTACAAACATGCACAAAAACTATCATATATATATGCCTTTGGTTGATGAGTA